AATGTATTGTGAGGGTCTTCTGGACATCTGGCAGAGTTTTCTTTCAGAAGAAGTTTCAATTCCCACCTCCGGCAGAACTTCCAAATTTTCCTTGAGTCTAAGTTGGCCAGGTTCCGTGCTTCCATTGTCGAGGCGGCCGACCAGAGCTGTGGCCGCAGGGTTGTCGGTGCCTGTCGTGGTGGCAATCCTTGAACCTGCTGGTGGACACCAATGATTAGGTATGCCATCAAGCTGAAGAAAGAGTCCTATCAGGTATCTTTGTCCTGTGGGACTCCAGAGTTAGCTGGAGTGGCTCTCCCATATCGCGTGGACATTGGGGGCAGTCCCACTGGAATTGTAGACCAAGGTGGTGGTCTCCCTATTTAAAAAAGGGGGCAGTAGAGTGTGTTCCAACTACAGGGAGATCATACTCCTGAGTCTCCTTAGTATAGTCTATTCAGGGGTTCTGGAGAGGAGGGAGGAGGAGCAGTGTGGTTTTCATCCAGGCTGTGGAACACTGGACTAGGGGGGTCCTGGAGGGTGCGTATGAGTTCGCCCAACCAATCTACATTTGTGGATATGGAGAAGGCGTTGAACCGCTTCCCTCGGGTGGTCCTGTAGGGGTACTCTGGGAGTATGGGGTAGCAGACCCTCTGATACGGGCTGTTAGGTCCCTGTATGACCGGTGCCAGAGCTCGGTCCGTATTGCCGGTAGTAAGTCGGGCTCGTTTTTAGTGAGAGTTGGACTCCGCCAAGGCTGACCTTTGTCACTGATTCTATTCATAACTTTTATGGACAGGATTTCTAGGTACAGCCAAGGTGTGGAGGGCATCTGTTTTGGTGGTCTGAGGATCAGGTCTCTGCTTTTTGCAGATGATCCTGTTGGCTTAACCAGAATCTCCTGCTCTCACTGGAGTGGTTCACAGCTGAGTGTGAAGAATCAGCTTCTCGTGGTGAAGAGAGAGCTGAGCCAGAAGGCAAAGCTCTTGATTTACCGGTTGATCTATGTTCCTACCCTCACCTATGGTCACGAGCTTTGGGTAGTGACCGAAAGAACGAGATCGCAGATACAAGCAGCCGAAATGAGTTCTCTTTGCAGGCTCTCACTTAGAGATAGGGTGAGAAGCTCAGTCATCCGGGATGGGATCGGAGTAGACCCGCTGCTCCTCCACATTGAGAGGAGCCGTGTTAGGATGCCTAGTTGGAATGCCTCCTGGAGGCAGGAATAGGCTGCTGCCCCCGCGGCCCGTCCTGGATAAACGAACGAAAATGAATGGATGACTTTTCCCCGAGGAGTTCATAGATTATAGCTGGAAATTAATCAGCAGCTCCAGACCAGTTCCTTACTTAATCTCCTAAAGGAGATGTTCCATAAACAAGTTTGGTCACACATGAAGCATCTCAGCAGCTTTATTCTAGAAGAAGAGAAAAAAATGGTCATGGCGTAACGTGGAGCCTGGGCCACCCCATAACCCGATACTGCTGTCCAGACTGAGCCGTTTCAGGGCTCTGGCCACACCCTATTCCCTAATTGGCTGCTATGAGGTGAGGAGCTCAGATATCAGAGAGGAACTTGGAATCAGACGGGGTTCTATTGGTGGGTTTCACTTTGCAGCCACGCAAAACTCAAATGGGGGGCAAGAAGTGATCTGCTCCGCAACAAAACAGAGATATGACACACCATGATGGATGAAAGCTACGAAGGCTTAAATGAGCTGGAACAGACGCGATATCATGAAAAAATACATCTTTTAGGTTATGACCCATAAAGTTTTAAATGTTGCACTTTTCATCCACTGTGGAGGATTTACCCAGCGCTGAAGCGATCAGCAACACAAACTCTAGCTGCCTCCCTTGTATCACACTGCAAACCAAACGAAAGCCTTTTACAGGTCTGGTTGCCTGCAGCTGTTTTATTTCAGGTTGGTTCACCTGTTAGTGATCCGGAGAAGCTTTAAATGACTATCGTCTTGTTTTTGCTTGGGTGAGTAGTGAGCTGTGCTACTTTATTCATTTGCTCACTATAATAATGCTATTGCTAATGCTAATGATCAGTATGTACTAGGATCTACTTGTAAATAACTTTTTATTCCTTTTAAATCCAGATTTCTGGTCCATTTGTTTGATTTGAATAAGGTATAAGGCTGATGTAGATGCAACGTCATTTGAAACCCAGCTATGCTAGTTTTCCTTATTGTGACATCACAAACGGGGGCTTTTTGAAACAGCTCATGGTAGATGCCAAACAATGACTGAAAATGTCTCCGTTGGCTTTTTATGACCCACACTTGTATGACGCCTTTCAGAGTCAGAGAATTTCAAAGTGCTTTACTACAGTGTATCATTATTCCATTCACACCTAATGAGCTACAATGTAGCCACAGCTGCCCTGGTGCATACTGACAGAAGCAAGGCTTTTATTCATTCCTATTTTATCCAGCTTTTGTTCATGTTGGGAGTGTTTACAGAGGCAGCAGAGACCCACAGGGCAGCACTAAAGGATGCAAAACATGAGTTTTCCAGTGTGTCTCCTTTAAGACGTGTGTTACTTCTGTGTGTGATCACGTGAGCGCTAGTTTCTTCAACCTGTTGGTCATCGTGTTCCAACTGATGATCAGTGCTGATGGAGAGGAATAAAGGCTTGGTCACTTCTGCAGACATGAAGCTAAATTTTGGTTTTCTGGTAGCTGAGAATCATTCCCAACACAAACGTAACTGATCTGCTGGTATTACCCGTCGGAGGCAGCCTTGTTGGCTTAGTGAACACACACTTACACACACACACACACACACACACACACACACACACACACACACACACACACACACACACACACACACACACACACACACACACACACACACACATCGGGCTGCATCCATGTTTTACCCATCGACATATATACTGGACAATTCGTTTCCATGGGCTCCAATTATAAGTTTTTGTGTCAAAATGGGAGGTGGCCACCACCGCCATTTTGACTGTGTCACAGGTTCCGTCAAGCCCAGACAATTCCACAGAAGGGAAGCGAGGTGGAGCTGAGGGTGGGGCTGTAAAGCTGGGATCAACTGACGAGACCCGGTCGAACTGGCTACAATCTAACCTGAAGCTAACCCAAAGCTAACGCGGAGGTGGGAGCTAAGCTAACGGAGGTAGCAACCTAGCTACAACCGGAGTTAACTGTGCACAACACCAGAGCTTCTGAGTCAGAGATACGCCGGGCTGACCGCTGGGTAAAACCGGGTGGAACACAGAGGTCTCCCGAGAGCTCCACAAGCCGGCAGCCCACGCAGCAGACAAGCGCCGCGATCAGACAGAGATGCGCCGAGCTGCGGGGAGGGGAGAACGAGTGGAAAACATCGGTCTCCTGAGAGATCCACAAGCCGATAGTCGGAACCC